AATCCACATACACACAACAGTACACTACCTTTAGCATCGCTGTCCTCGGCAGCCCTGTCCTTTTTCAACGCGTGCAATATTCTCAGTCCCAGGACTTTGTCCGACAACCTAACAGCCATTGCGGGTGAATACACTAACTCCACCTTCTCTTTGTTCCTCATGACCCATATGCCCGCACTCTCCAACACACGGAATGTCGTGGTATCCGACAGGTCGATTGTCTTTGGACTGAAGTTATCCCTGTGTAAATGTGACAGCCGGGAAAGGGAGAAGAGTGTGAGAGAGAGGGAACCTAAACTAGGAGGAGGAGAAGGAGGCCGCGGTCGGGATGGTAAGACAAGAAAACCTAAAACGTAGCATGGTAACTGATAATATGATATAGTTATAAGAATTTATATGTATATGCCGGATAGTCTATATTTATCTTTGCCTGTGAGCTATGTAGAAACACAAGCTGCATTGGTTTGATGACATGGGTGCGGTTGAAATACCAACAAGCACCTTCTATAATATTACAATTTGCAGTGTTTGGTAATAGACGAACACTTAGTCCTGTCTCCACCTGAAAAAATATCGCAGACATATATATATACGTTCATATTTATAGATAACGCACTAGTTACGTGTATACGAATTCGTATGCATACATAACGGTACATGTAGGTATACAATCACATTCACAAATGAATAACGTATATATAGCAGTACATTTATGTATATAGTCTCATGCGCAAATCAATGTGTATATAGCCGTACACTTATCATAGTCAAATGCAAATATATATACATGCATGACAGTATATGTATGTATTATAGCCACATGCACAAATCTATATGTATATTTAGCTGTACATGTTCTATAATCCCATGCACAAAACTATATACATACATGACAGTACATGTATGTATAGAAGTCAATGCACAAATCCACATACATAAAAAGTATAAAACATATATGTAATACATACGCACATCTATATACACACATGCACACATAGAAGCACATGCATGTATGTAACACATACGCACATCTATAAACACATGCACACAAAGAAGCACATGCATGTATGTAACACATACGCACATCTATATACACAAGTGCACACACAGGAGTACGTGTATGTATGTAACACATACGCACATCTACATAAACACGTGCACACACAGAAGTAAGTGCATGTATGTAACACATACGCACATCTACATACACACATGCATACATAGCAGTACATGCATGTATGTAATACATACGCACATCTACATACACACGTACACAAACTGCGCTCTCTCCTCGTGCGACACGATGGCGAGATCGTCCTCTGCGGTGCACACATCGGATAGTAAAGCACTGGCACTGTAGATACCCATCCAGTCGTTTTCATTGGGGCAGTAGAGGTAGGTAACTTCCTCGTAGCCAATCAGAATCTCGCTTAAGGGTATTAGCTCTGAGAGGGGTTCATGGGTGTTTGGGCGTGCCGTGGGTTTTGCTTTAATTGAAATGGGCACCAGATGTGCCTCCGTAGTGAACTCGAATTTGTCCAAGTCCACCGACACCAGGTCCTTTGGCCTGCAAAACGTGACAGGGCTTGGGTTTAGGTCCAAGGTTTGCCAAAGTCCGAATACACATACGTCAACAGGTCATAGGCATCACTAATTTATAGAAAGGGAACCAATAATCTGACCTGTTAGGCGTAGTATTAAACTTAGATACATCCATTTATGTCGATGAATGTCAATATTAAACTGGAATTTAGGTTGGTTCAACAGTGCAAGAGTAGGTAAAGTACACAAGACAACAAAGAATCTCGATCAGAAAGTTCGTAGCTATCGTTGATGACACCAACAGCAGCTGTGTTACCTACCAATCGACGTAGTACACTCCATGACTACAAGCACAGAGACAAGAACCAGAGACAGACACTATTTTGGTAAACGGATAAGCAGTTACCATGGCAACGGACACACTGATGTGTACACACTAAACAGTGACTAATACATTGTCGTATCAATTATATCAATTGAATAAGTCTAGGACTGTCATGTACAGATACGCCAACAATGCCCAAACACGTATCTATCTACTGTGCATACATTCAAACACTTACACATACATTCAAATACTTCTGATTCATCCACACATACACTCGACTCACTTTGTGCAATGTCTATGACAATCAAATTCTATTTCCGTGCCCAGTAGAGCCACTTACCTATGCATAATATGTATGATACCAGCACACCATCACCTAGTACATATACCATATATAACATTTATACACTCCCTAGTGGCATAATATATATGCTACTAGCACACCATCACCTCGTATATACACAATATATAACATTTATACACTCATTAGTGGCATAATATATATGCTACTAGCACACCATCACCTAGTATATATACAA